CATGCAAATGAAAGCCCTAAAGTGGGGCTTGAACCAACAACCCTCTGGTTGTAGAAACATCATTTATACCAGCAAGCCACAGGGCCTGCTGAGAGCCTTCCTTTTTTTTTTTTATCATTTGTCTTTGTTTTTGCCATCTTTACTGAAGAGAACTCAGCTTAGCTTACACAGCCTCAGGTGGAGCTCTGACTGTGGATCAGTTCTAGTTTGGAAGACTGAACTCCTCTCCTCTTTATCTGGAACACCAACACGAGAACTGTTTCTTTGTTCCTCGTCATCGCCAGCAGTCGGCGCAGTTCTGCTCTGTACCTCCTCATTACTAGCAGACGGCATAGTTCTGCACTGTTCCTCTTCATCACCAGCAGATGGCGACTGTGGAATGAATTAAAATGATCTGTTAACATTTCACTGGCTGATTGGTCCATAATCAATGTAATGTAGACAATTATCTTGATGTTTATATGAAATTCTGTGCCAGTTTTAAAGACTGTGGAATGAATTCAAATGAATACAATTTTGAAAATGTTGCACAAATAAATGTTAGCTTTCATAATTGAGTGCAATCAAGATGCCAAAATCTGAATAGATTAATTCATAGTCTCTTTTGTTGTCCAAAAACTCAAATTATTTTCAGAACCACCTGGAGACTAAAGTCTTACACAGAAACTGAAAGAATAATCAGAGGTTTTGTTTTATTCCACAGTTTGAGCAAAAAATTCCACTGTTTCTTCTGAACTGCTGGTGAAAAAACCTGTGATAAAAAAACAGCTACTAAAGCTCACTGGTGCCTTCAGCGGTACCTCCATCTCCACAACTGTGCTCACCATCACCCTCCAGTGTTGGAAATAAATCACTGCATTACAGATTCAGAAAAATCTGTTTTTTTGTATTTTGTGTCGTTTTTCTTCACAGAAAACTGTTGTCGGATTTCCCCCACAAAACTGTGTTCCTGAACAATTAGAATTACACATGATACTGTGGTGAATAATGCCTCACTGATCAGAACTAGTTAACGTTTAAAATGCCATGATCAGAGTGTCTCAGGAGCTCTTAGCATAAATGTGGAAACCAGCACTATATTACTCAGAACATGGGGGGAAGAAATAATACGGTCTTTCTGTTTGGAACCACAAAAGTACTGAATGCGGACAAGGAACACCACCTGTGGTCATACGTCGCTTGGTGCTCACGTTCATGGTATTATTAAGGAAAGTAGCCTATGATCAGACTAAAGGGTCAAAGGATCACCAACAGCTGCCATGAACAGCCTTGAAACACTTGAGGTTTAGAACTGTTCATATGTTGTAAACTTGGACCTCCACTGTTTTCTCACAGTCCACAAACTGCTGCTGAAGACTAAACTCCATCACTGCTGCTCTGTGGGTTTATCACACTAAAATAAAAAGGCTTCTACTTTCTGGTGGACACTTCAAACAAACCCTTGTAAGTCATGGTAAAACGTATTACCGCGTCCTCTCATGTCTGGTAGGTTAGACTCCACCTTTATGAGCAATCAGGAGATGTCTTATTGTTAAGGCCAGTCCTGAACTATAGAAGTCTGACATAGTGACCTCATGACCTGTGAGTTTACCCAAATTTACTCTTCCCCACTTCTCCCAATTCTCCACTGTAGCCCCTCTTCCTGCACTTCTAAGTACCTTTTTGTCTTAAACACAAGGCGTCTCTTTTTAAACTAAAGGCTGTAGTGTGTGTGTCAGTGTTTTTAGATCTCACAGAAGCTTTTTTTAATTTCATTAAAATCCATTTAAGGCCGATCTTATAAAACTAAGGCTTTTATTTTTTGTATGTTGTTTAAATGAGGACAAGTGATTTTATTTCACAGTAGGTTTGTCTGATTTGTCTCAGTTTGTTCTTTTTTTTCACACAACTTTGTGAAAGTAATTCTTTTAAATAACCACTTAACAAAGCATAATACAACATTTGTATTGGTAACATTTTTCAAAACTAGAATGTATTAGAGTTGTGACACTTCAGTTTGCAGGTCCACTACATGCACATTTAGACTAAACTGATAAAAAATTTATATTTGTTAATATCAGTTGTTGATTTTCACATCATCTTTGTATTTTAGTTGGTTTCAAGTCTTTATAAACAACAACAACAGGCTCCTCATGTCTTTGAATGTTCTACGTTTTTAGGCAGTACCCGCACTTTATAAACAGTCCCTTACTGTCTTTGGCGCTGCTGCAGCGATTCCGGTCACTTGAATTGAATTGAATTGAATTGAATTCAGAACCATCAGCCAACTGTGTTTGTACACATGTGCAGTGAAACACCCCATACACACTAGTGAACACACACACTAGTGGGCAGTGTGCACACTTGCCCGGAGTGGTGGGCAGCCCTAGCCCTACCCTTTAAACCACCGCTAGATAAAAAGATCTGGACTTTTATCCTGACAGCTGCAGTTCACGCTTTTCACCACCAGGTGTCGTTAATGTGCTCTGGATTTAGAAGCTTCCAGTAATGAACTCTTTCTGATAAGATTTAAAGAAAAGCTTCACTGACTCTGAAAGCTTTGTTCTGCCATTTGGAGGTCAGTCTAAAGTGCTAATCGTCTTATTTACCTCAACCAGCGCCGCATTTCCAATTTGGATATGTGTTGAGTCCTAACAGGCCAACATCATGCTCGGACTCATTCTGTAGTCCCCGCCATGCTCTTATGCCCATATTAGGAGCTCCGAGTCTGAGCTCCATTTCTCTATGGCCAGAATGAATAGGGTTTATGAAAAATCGCCTCTAGCGCCCCCTGTGGTAAATAAACATGCTTGAAAAAAAAGAAAATTTTTCTCTCTAACACCACTGGATCCTCTGAATTACGAGGTCGTTAAAGAGTTGAAATATGAATATTGCTACATGTGAGCTAAAGCTACTGCGCTCTGAACTCACGTTATTAGACTGGCAGCCTCCTTAATCAGGTTATCACCCCCTGATTTCGGCAGTCACGTTCTGAACTGCTGCGCCATTTAAGGAGGAACGGGAAAATTTGAACAAGCAGTTGTTGAAAAAGAAGCTGATTCAGCTTCACGGAGGGCTGAAAGGCCTGATATGAGGAGGTTTATACAACAGTTAGTTCCGGCCACGCAAGCTGATTGGTTGAGACAGAGAACTTGTAGAGAGGAGGATTCCCACTCTGCAATGCCTTCTGGGTTTTTCAAACGCTAGAGGGCGCTCCCGAGCGAGTCCAAAATGAATATGTTGATATGGAGCATTTGAGCAAAATCATAGTTTATAAATGCTGAAACATTTTTAATGTAAAATTAATAGTTTAATAGTCTATTCAGGATCTTAACTCTATGTAGTAGTTATTTATTTACA